GACTCTGTCTAGTGTAGAAGCCGATTCTGTAGTAGGGATAGATATTGAAAGAAAGATGGAGGGATAGATATAAAGAGAAAGAAAGAAAGTGGACAATTTTTCAGTGAAATGAGCAGAAGCCATTTAATGGGACCAACCGTAAGTCTTTTATCCCAAATTTTCACATGCTAAATCACAAGACTTTCACGTGAACACAAGGCCAGGTGGATGAGGCGCATCCCCCCCACCCACCAGATGTTTCCTTAAGCATGAGGAAGGGCAATCCCAATCAAATCACAAGACTATTACGTGAACATAAAGCCAGGTAGATGAGGGGCGTCCCCCCACCTACCAGGCGTTTTCCCAAGCATGAGGAAGGACAATCCCAAAATTATCTCACTGTTCCTTATGCTTGGTTTATGTTCCTCAAAAGCAATACAACAATTCTAGCATCATAATAATCAATAACTTCTAAAACTTATGCATACCCAACACCTAATGACTGACTTAAATCCTAATACCTTTCTATTCTGTGCTAATTTTACCTGTACTATAAAAAACTCTTAATTATAGCTCAGACCAGTTCCTAAAGAATGTGGTCCAGTCCAAAGATCACGCTGGGCCATTTCCAGGAACAATTGATTATGATCTCTTAACAAAATGGCTATTCTAAAATCCTATGTATCTATCTTAATTTCTATAAAAGTTTCTAATTCCTAATACTAATATATAAGGCTGATCATCAGCAATAAAGCTTCTAAAATAAAACCCAAATACAAACTGTAATTGTACTAAAGCCAAAACCGCAATTAGTAGAAAGTGGGAACAATGAAATTTCTAAAGTTAGCTGTATTCTTATAAAACTTCAATATATCATATTTGATCATGCTTGAACTAACAAAATTCCCTGACGTAGCATGACCTATTCTACAATACTTTCTATGAATAAAATAAATTCAGTTTCTATAATAAGTAGAAAAAAGTTACACTAATGGTAACTAAAGAACTGGTTTAAAAGAATGCAGCCCAGGCCAAAGTGGATGCTGGGCCCTTAGGAATGTGGCCCAGTCCAAAGTTCATGCTGGGCCATTTCTGGTAACTGTAGATAATCATCTATACCATCTAAAGCTGGAAACAGCTCTCTAAATGTATATACTAATTCTACAAATATACTTTTAAATCTTATAAAGAAGCTTGCATCATGTATAAGGCTCTCAAATGTAACCTGAGTTTGAACTGTGTCAAGTTTAAAGCCGAAACCTCAGTCTGTGAGAAACGGGAACAATGGATCCCTAGAGTCAGCCATGCCTGTCATATTCTCAGAACTTCATACTTAGATCATCAAAGTCCCTGCTAGTGGATCATGCCAAACAACAAAGAAAGGAGGAGAGAATGGGCCTTCAGCTCCTGAACCAAACCTGGTGGTCTCAAGGTCCGCAGCCAGCCTGAATCTTTAACTCTCAGGCGGGCCTCCACAGCTGGCTCCCAACATCTCTCTGTCTCTCTCTTTCTCTTTTTTGAGTTGGAGTCTCACTCTATCGCCCAGGTTGGAGTGCAGTGGCACATTCAAGGCCACTGCAGCCTTGAGCTGCTGGGCTCAGGCGATCCTTTCACCTCAGCCTTCCAAGTAGCTGGAACTACAGGTGTGCACTACCATGGTTTATTTTTTAATTTATTGTAGAGATGAAGTCTTACCAAATTGCTCAGGTTGGTCTCGAACCCCTGAGCTCAGGCAATCCTCTCACCTCAACCTCCCAAAGTGCTGAGATTATAGGCTTGAGCCACCACGTTCAGCCTAGCTTCTGTCTCTTAATAACTCTTTCCTATATTCTATGCCTAGAAGTCAGAAAAATAAGGGAGAAAAATGACTAGAAGTTAGAAAAGATAAGAGGGAGAAATGCTGAAAGTATTCCATGGACACAAAGACTCAGTGACTGATAACCTGGTGGGTCTGAGGGCCCACCAGTGGGTCAAAGATTTGGCAACTAAGCAGCCTTATTAGAGGCAGAGAGTTTGGGCTAAGTCTCACAAAGACACTTCTAATTGTTCTCAGGACTTTATTGCTGTTATTGTCATGCCTCCTCCCTCTAACCTGCTGTCCTGAACAAAACTAGGAGAGGCATGGGGGGCAAGGACACCAGCCTGCTGTCTCTAGCCCTAGGAGGTGAAGCTCTGAGCACCAGGAAGGAGTCAGGCAGTGGTGATGGTGGCTGATATCTCTGTAGCAGCACCCTGAGGTAGGCGCTGCCAGCTGTTTGTACGCCTCTTTTGAGAGTAGTGACCTGGAGCCCATAGGGGAGGAAGGTCAGTAAACAATCAGGAAGTGGAGGTAGATGTCCAGGTCTTCATCCAGGAACCAGGCCACCATCTCAACCTCAATGTCCCTCATAAAAAAACCATGATGCTGGCCAGATTAAAGCAGAAAGCTAAGTAAAAAAGGTGTTCACGGAGAGCTGCTGTCTCAGAAGTCTTGTCCTCCTCTTGCTGGGCCATGTCCATCACTTGCCACATCTCACCCACCGAGGAGGCCACAAAGTGCTCTTCAAATTGTTCTTGATTCTGGTCTGGAACAGGGGAGAGAGGCAGGGAGTGACAACTCTGATCCTGATCTTCTTTCCCTTACCCTGACACTGGCTTGAACCAGAAAAAGGTAAAAGAGTAGGAAACAAAGTTTGGGCCTAGGGCCCTTGGCCCAATTGCCCATATCCTAGACCAGAAAGATCTTTTCTGATTTGTCTTCAGCCACAGCCTCAACTCAAACACACACAAACACACACACACACACACACACACACACACACACACCATTTCCATTTCTAAGGCTAGCTGCCTTTTCAAAAGTATGCCACCATTTGGGGACTGAGAGACCACCTTAAGGTGTGTAGAAAATTAAAGAGTCTCATCTCAGACAAATACATCATGTGATGCACACAGAAGTCACATGCAACTTCCCTTGGTCCAGGTGTGCCCTGACACTATTATTGTCACACTATAACAATAGGGGGCTGGAGTTATCGCCCATAACCCAAACTGATCTCAGATCTCATCCTAGCCTGACCTCAAACAGACCTGACCCTTAGTCTCCAGACTTCCCCCCATTTCCTCTACCCACCTGGAGAGGGTGTTTTCTCTCTCTGGCTCCTCTCCTCAGGGCCTGGGCTCCCCTTCTGAGGCTTCACTTGCAGCAACAGCAGCAGAATTGTGGCCAGGAATGCTGCCCTGCAGAGCTGGGAGCCCAGGGAAGGCATGGGCCTACCCACCCACCTAACTTTGGCCCTCCCCTGCTCCCTAGTGCCTGATAGGCTCTTCCCACCTCCTGCCCCGTCCTTGTCGCAGCCCTTACCCCTTTCCAGCGCCGTTTTCTTTCCTTCCCTTCCATAAGACCTCTGACATCATGAGCTCTGTGACATCACAGCCATGGGCCTGACCATCCCAGCTCACTAGAGTGTTCCTTTGCCAGGCAAGGGTGGAACACAGCCAACAGGGATGGCAAAGACTTCTAAGGTGACTGTCATGGGTCATACTGTAGATAGCAACAGAAACAAATTAAGAGTTTGTAAAGTATGTTCTCATTCACTGCATCATTAGATCCACACAGCAACCAGGATACTATTCTCATACTCACTATATAGACGAAGAAATCAAGGTTCACAGAAGAATGACTGTCTCACTCAAGAACACTCAAATACTAATGGGCAGAGCAGGTCTCCTGATTAAAACTTTCAGTTCCAAATATGATATCTGTCCACTATTCATGTGGCCTTTCTCTAAGAAGAGTGGTTTGCATAGGATGAGGCCCAAACCAAATGCGCAAGCCAGAATCCTCAAGTCTTAGGCATGAACCTGCTGCTCTACAGGAAACATGGGTCTGCCAAAAAATGAGATGGGGAGGGGCAGCGGGGGAGGGTGGTAAAGGGCACATGCTCTGTATGTGTATATATGAGAGAGAGATACAGAAAGAAAGAGAGAAAGAGATAGACAGAGTTAGAGAGATGAACCAGACAGAGTGACACAGAAAGAGACACAAAGACAGAGAGACACACCAACAAGGAGTGCATAGAAAGACAAACAGCCAGGCATGGTGACTCACACCTGTAACGTCAACACTTTGGGACGTGGAGGCGAAAGGATTGCCTGAGCCCACGGGCTAGAGACTTGGGAAACTTTGTGAGACCTCGTCTCTACAATAAATAAATTTTTAAAAAGTTGCCGGGCCTGGTGGCACGCACCTGTGGTTCCAATTACTTGGAAGGCTGAGGTGGAAGAATTGGCTGAGCCCAGCAAGTCGAGGCTGCAGTGGCCATGAGTGTGCCACTGCACTCCAGTCTAGGTGACAGTGAGACTCCAACTTAAAAAAAAATAAAAATAAAAAGACAAACAGCAGTGGCCTTGTACCCCAGCAGAAACCATTCTCACCTTCGCCTCACCCTCCCTAGCTTTCCCCCTTTCCTAGCATTTGTCTTCTTGTACCACCAAGCTGAAACACCCTCTTTTCTCATTTTACACCTTCTTGTGCTCTAGAGAGAAAAAGTTGTTACAGGTTCATTTTCAAACTCCTTCATTACTAGAGTCTGCAGAGAAGACATGGCATGGCAGAGTTAAGAATCCCACATAACAGATCTGGAAAAATCCTGCCTCAACACCACAATGTCCCTCCTTCCCATGAGTGCAGTGAGCACAGACCTGTTGGCAGTAACGGGCTGTGGCCGGTCACTACCATCTGCTTCTTGGTGCAGAGATGGTTGTGGCTAGGGGAGACAGAATGAAGGCCCTTTTTGGAAAACTAGCAACAGAGACACAGACCATGAGACACAAAAAGAATGCTAGGACAGGTGGGAGGAGTTTTGTCACACTGAACTACCATAACCAATTCACTGCTCCCCTCCATGCATACCAGCCCTGAATAAAGCATGCAGGTGCAAGGACATGTGTAGGACATGAACTCTTTCTGTAAGAGGAAAGTGCAGAAAGAGAAATGCATGAAGAACCTCCTCCCATGGAGGTCACTCACGTTGGCAGACACACCCACGTGGACACTTTCCCACTATAGCAGATGCCACCTTGTATACACTTCGTGGTGATCCAGGCCAGGTGATGGTCACCTGAAAGTGAAGAAGGAAAGATTCAAGGAGGCAGGTGACCCTGCTCACCCAATCTTTGTACCCATTGACCTGAGATCCAAAGAACGATGCTCGAATGGAAAAATAAATAAATAACTAATCTCCTTCTGGCTATTTTAGAAGAGGAGCCTCTTGGGTCTCTGGCAAAAAAGAGAAGCCAGCTCTAGCTCTGTGGGTGTGGATGTGCTGGGGGATTGTGCCTGGAGTAGGCATGTCTCCTAAAGGCAGGCTGAAGTGGAAAGAACTGGGTAGCACTGACCATCATTACTTCCATTTCCTCACCACCCCCTCTCTCAACTCCCAGTGTTGAAAGCGATAAATCCTTGCAGGAGACCAGGAATCCCTTAAACATTTTTTCTCTTATTATAAAAGTATAAGGCTGGGCATGGTGGCTCACACCTGTAATCCTAGCAATTTGGGAGGCCAAGAAGAGAAGATTGCCTGAATCCAGGGGTTCGAGATCAGCCTGGGCAGCTTGGCAAGACCTCATCTTTACAATAAATAAAAAATTAGCCAGCTGTGGTGGTGCCCACCTGTAATTCCAGCTACTTGGAAAGCTGAAGTGGAAGGATCGCCTGAGTCCAGCAGGTCGAGGCTGCAGCAGCCATGGGTGTGCCACTGCACTCCAGCCTAGGCAACAGAGTGGGACTCCAACTCAAAGATAAATAAATAAATAGTATAAAATATAGAAAAGTACAGAAAACCAAAAGGCTGATAATTCCATCATCCAATGATAATCACTATTAAAATTTTAAGGTATCAGCCGGGCTTGGTGGCTCAGCCTGTAATCCCGCGCCTTTGGGAAGCTGAGGTGAGTGGATTGCCTGAGCCCACGGGTTCGAGACCCACCTGGGCAGGCGAGACCTCATCTCTACAATAAATCAAAAAATTAGCTGGGCGTGGTAGTGCACGTCTGTAATTCCGGCTACTTGGAAGGCGGAGGCGGAAGGATCGCCGGATCCCAGGATCCTCGATCTCGAGGCTGCGGTGGCCAGGAGCGGCCACTGCACTCCGATCTGGGCGAGAGAGTGAGACTCCAACTCAAAAAAAAAAAAAAAATTTTAAGGTGTCATGTTTGTATCCTTTTTCTAGATGGCTGTGGTCATGTGGAAAGGGAGTGTATTTCTGAAAAACTGAAATCCAGATATTATATTTTCTCCTCCTTTTTATGCCAGAGTAAGAGGTCTGGCTGCTTTGGCACAAAGGGCGCTGGAACCTGACAGTATAGTGAGGCACCTCAAGCCCAGTTCTCCTGCTGGCTGTCTGGGAGGTGATACTGGTCTGTGCATCATAAATGGGAAGGTGGTTACCTGAAGGGGAGAGGTTGTAAGTGTCCTTGCCTGTGGAAGAAGACTGAGAAGAAACATAGGATGGTGATGCTGAATATTCCAAAGAGGAAGGAGTGGTGGGGAGGAAAAGCAGAGGGGACAGGAGAGACTCCAAATCTCTGGTCTACCAGCTGGGTCCCCAGGCTACTTGTCCATGCTCTTCCCATTGGTGGGGACAATAAGACAGAGAAGCACAAGTGAGAAGGTGATGGCTGGGGATGGGCTCCTCTTTCCTCCTCCCTGGGCCCATGGACGATGCCCTTGGTGGCGATTCCCTGCACACCTGCTTTGTGCGGCTCTGACCAGCCTCCTTCCCCGCCAGCCCCTCCCTGCTCCCACCCCCTCCAGAATCAGCTTTATGGGCTGCAGTTTCTTTGGTAGTTGCTGCCTTCCTGGCCGACTAGCTTATCAGTGCATCTACAACCTCCATCTTGGCCTTATCGCTCCTTCCATCTTCTTAGAATGGAAGTCACCCCACACTGCCCTGGCCCCCAGCGAGGCAGAAAAATGTCCCACAAGTTGAGCCCTCCCCACTTCCAGGTGAGAACATGACTCCCGCTTATCTTGGGCACCTCCTCTTCTTTCTTTCTTTATTTTCCTTTCAGTTCTTGTCCTTCTCTAAAGGTTATTTCATCCATCCCTCAGTTTCTGGAGGAGAGCTCTCTTTCTTACAGCAAAAGAGGTGGGCAGTCCTCTGTTCCCAAAGATACCCAAGGGGAGAATTCCATCATATCCCCACCCTAGTCTCTCACATCTTTATAGCCAGAAGCTTCCCAAGAGAGGAGAGTGATTTGGAGCTGAGAGCCCATCTTCAAAGCCAGCTCCAGGTTTGCCACTAGCCATGGGGTTCCGGGTCATCACACTTCCTCTAGGTACTCTGTCTTCTCTTTCAGGTAATAGGGAAGCCTACCCTGTTCCCATTTACCTCATAGGCCCATTGACTGACTACAATTCAACAATAATGATATACCTCTTTGAAAACAATCAGGAAGATAAATTATAAGCTATCATATAAAGGATGATGTCCCCTCAGGCCCATCACTTGGGGAGGATGAGGTGAGAGGATTGCCTGAGCACACAGGTTGGAGACCTGCCTAGGCAATTTGGTGAGACCTCATCTCTACAATAAATCAAAAAATTAGTCGGGCATGGTGGTGCATGCCTGTAGTTCCATCTACTTGGTAGGCTGAGGCTGAAGAATCACCTTAGTCCAACAGGTCAAGGCTGCGGTGGCTGTGAGCATGCCACTGCACTCCAGCCTGGGCAACAGAGTGAGATTCCAACCAAAAAAAAAAAAAAAAAAAAATAGGAGTTGCCTCTTATCCTTGGGGAATACATTCTAGGATCCCCAATGGATGTCAGAAATCTGAGATCGTACCAAACCCTACATTCACCATATTTTTTTTCTGTATATACACACCTGTGTTCAAGCTTAATTTAGAAATTAGGCACATTATGAGGATAACAACAATAATAACAAAATAGAAAATGTTGTAATAATAGTTATGTGGATGCTCTCTCTGTCAAAATCTTATTGCGCTATACTCACCTATTTTTAATGGTGGCCGACCTCAGGTTACTGAAGCTCAAGTAGCAAAACTGCAGATAAAGGGAGATTAGTTAATAAAGTAACCGTGCTCGGTGGCTCAGCCTGTAATCCCACCCCTTTGGGAGGCTGAGGTGGGTGGATTGCCTGAGCCTGTGGGTACAAGTCCTGCCTGGGCAACTTGGTGAGACCTCATCTCTACAATAAATCAAAAATTAGCTGGGCGTGGTAGCGCGTGCCTGTAGTTCCAGCCACTTTGGAAGGCTGAGGCGGAAGGATCGCCAGAACCCAGCAGGTCAAGGCTGCAGTGGCCGGAAGCAGCCACTGCACTCCAGTCTGGGCGACAGAGTGAGACTCCAACTCAAAAAAATAAAATAAAACTACACAGTCTTTCTTACCTTTACATATTCTTCCCAGTGTCTCGTTCATAGAAAGAGTCCCAAATGTGGAATCACAATTTCTTTGTCCTCGAACTTTGCTCAGTTTCTGTTGTTCAACCTCCCCAGAAACACAGGGCTCCTGGGGATCTCCTCTGTACACTTGCCCCCCACCCCCATCCTGCTCTGCTGAAACTCCAAGAAGCTGGCTGGTCATGGTCATGAGGAATTCTCATAGAGAGGGAATGGCTTAAGAAGAAAGGGCCAGAAACTCTCCTTTAAGGTGGGGCCTGCCAAGGACTGCAGGATTGAAGACAGAGATGACCACAAGACCAAGGTCAACAGACAGCTCTGAGAAGCAGCCTGTGGGTCTCTCCAGCCCACTTGTGGATGAAGGGTCAGCAGTGGTTGAATGCTTGTACACATGCTTTATAGAGGCTCCTACGAAACACCATGATTATTATCCCATTTTTACAGGTTAAGAGACTGAGACTCAGAAAGCTCACCTAACTGTAAGGAGTAGGAGTCAGGGTTTAAACCAGGATCTGCCTGTTCACAAGTTGGAGGTCTTTACTTCCTACTCTTCCTATGCAACTTGTGTGTAGACTTGCCTTCCAGGGTTTATCCTACCCTTGCTCCTTTTTTTCAAATTCCTCTACCACACCCCTCAGCCTCTCCCTGGCTCAGCCACTCAGCCCACCACTACAAGCCTTCCCCCTACCCCTCCCTTCTCTTGGGTGGCTCTGTGCCCCTAGGGCTCAGCTCTGTAAAGAGCTCCTCCCCCTCCAGGGAAAGCACCTCCTCCCAGGGCAGGATGGCCAGTTCCCTCAGTACACCTGCATGCACACACACTCACACAAAACCACACACTGCACCCACCCACAGCCACACACTGTACCCACACACACCCACACCCACATACATCCACAACCACACACTGCACCCACACACCCACATCCACATACACCCACAACCACACACTGCACATTGTGTGCTCAAATCACATGGGAGATATATTCTCTGAATCTCAATCCCAAATAGACACCACCTTCTATTCAGTGGCTGCCATCCTATACCTGTTTCTTTCACCACATTCCTATAACCTGCCAGTGCCTATAAAAAGAAGACATGGGAGCTTGTCTGCCCAAGGAAAAGGGGCACCGGATCCAACTCCAGAAATTTCTACCCTCCTTGCTGGTCAGAGAACAAAAGTGGGACCAACACCTCGACCAGGTCTATATGCTGCAACAGAAGAGGTAGGCTTCACAGGGGACTGGCGTCTCCCAACCCATTCTCAGTCCCTCTGACCCACCAGATCTGTTTACCTGATAGAACACCCTAGCATTCAGTGCCAGTCACTTGGATACACCCTTCCCTTCCAGTTCACCCATTTAAAAACCCCAACTGAGCCTCCTTAGTGGTAATGGAGAGGCCTTGAGTGTAGACTTAAGGCCAGAGGCAGAATGACAGCTAAACCTCTAAGCTTCCTGCCTTGTGAAAGGGGGAGTTAAGGGACCGGATGGAAGCAGCAGGATGTGTGGGGTGGGTGGGCAGGCAGGAGTGGGCTGCTGGGGAAGGGATGCCATCCTGTGGGTGGTGGAAGAGAGAGTGAGGAATTGCCATTACTTTGAATGAAAGTTGTCTGTGTGGGAAAGGAGGAGGAGAGCTTTGTTGGGTGTAACACTTGGAGCTGACCAAGTGAGGAGTGCAGCCCAGGTGACATGGGAGGGTCCTGAGTTCAGTTCATCTACCTTTCATCAAAGCTACTATGTCAGGTAGGGTGTTAGGTCCCGAGAACATGCAGACTGAATGAGGCATGTGCCTGCTCCCCCAGGGAGCTCTCAGTTCCGGAGGGGGCTTGTATACCTGGGGGTATACTTTCCTGGATCATTTTCTGGTTCAGCCTTAGGTCCAGGCCCAGGAAGAGCAGCTGGGACAGTGGCAAATCCTGAAGGCAGGCCTCGGCCTATGCCTAGGAGTGTTTGGAGGCTTGACTCCCACCCAAGAGCTGCCTGGTGGTGGGGTGAGCAGACTTTAGCAGTTACACAGCACCCTCACCCCCGTGCTCTACAAAAGCCCTGTGCTTGGCTTGGTTCAATGCTCTGCTGTCCTCATCTTGAAATTCTTAATAATTTTGAACAGGGATCCTGCATTTGCAGTTTGCACTGAACCTGACCCCAAGTGCCTCTAGAAAGGCCCTCTGCTTACTCTCACCCTGACCCCAGAACTGCAATGGAAACTTTAACCTCCTGCCTACTGCCTCTCACTGCTTTAGGGTGGGAGCCTGGTGGTTTCTGAGAGAGCTCTTGCCTGGCCTAAACCTCCCCGCCTCCAGAAGGGCAGTGAGACTAGAGAGCCAGGGAGGCAAGGTCTTTGCACAGTGGCCTCAGGATGGGGGTGAACTCAGAACCCTAGACTGGCCACTCTGGGTTGGTCAGGGACAGGTGGCTTCCTGGGACTGAGAGGCCCTGGTGAGATGGAGCAAGGAACTGATTCTACACTCCACCCTCCTAGGAACGTGTCCCTACCAGACAGACCTGACTGACCCTGACCTTTAGATAAACAGCTGCTTCCTTAAATAAGACAATTTTCCCCCTCGGCTCCTGGGACTGGAAGAGAGGAATTTGGGTGTAGGGGACAGCACAGCCACTGTGCCAGACCCTGTCTTGGCCTTTGGACCAACACATGCATGTGTCTAACAGGATAGGCTTCGGTTTTATCTCTCATTAGATTTATTTATTTATTTATTTGAATCGGAGTCTCACTCTGTCACCAAGGCTGGAGTTCAGTGGCACGCCCACAGCCAACGCAGCCTCGACCTGCTGGGTTCAGGCAATCCTTCCATTTGAGTCTTCCAAGTAGCTGGAACTATAGGTGCTCATCACCTCACCTGGCAAATTTTTTTGACTTACTATAGAGACAATGTCTCACCAAGTCACCCAGACTGGTCTCAAATCCCTGGATTTAGGCAATCCACTTGCCTCTTCCTTCCAAAGTGCTGGGATTACAGGCATGAGCCACTGTGCCTGACCTTCTCAGTCAGTGTAAATCTGGATATGATAGAAACAAGGATGATTTATCAAAGGTCCTATAGGGTGAATATCTCAATCGGGCTTTTCCTGCACTGAGAGTGAGACTCCTACTCACAAAAAAATAAAAAAAGAAGTCCAAATAAACACAGTGTTTAGATCATTGCATCTAAGGGTAGAATACAGAAGGAAGAGATCTCCCAGGCCCCACAACCAAATTCTCTTTCCCTAAAGGGGATATGTATCTAAATAGCCTGAAGGAGTAATCAGAACTTTAGTAGCTCACAAATTCCACAAAGGGCTAACCCTTGGTCAGTTCTTCCTTCTTTGTTTTGGTCTCTCAAACACTCCTTGGCTAAAGAGAGAAGGTTGAGCAGGCTGAGGAGCAGGGGGACTCTGGAAGCACCCTCTGTTTCACTTGCTCCAACAAGTGACCCAGGGTCCTGAAACAGTTTCTCAGCTTAGATAAATTCAACCAGGCCTGAGGACCTCTTCTCAGGGACTCTGGGATCACCCCTTCCAACCCCCAGGCCCTCTTGCCTGAGGTACTAGGACTTTCTATTAACTCTCCCCTAATGGCTGTGCTAGAAGACAGCCACTAGGAATCAATGTGATGCCAATCCCACCAGAAGCCTCTGAGACTGACCCTTTCCCAAGTCTTTTCTCAGTCACTCGTGTCCAGTAGACATCTCTTTCCAACTCATCACTGCGTACTGTGTGAGTCACATAATCTCAGACAGACAGAGAATGCTTCTGATCTCCTGTGCTGCTTGCTTGGCTCTGACTGTCTCTACCAAACTCGGGTTCATCTTCCCTCAGGATTCGAGAGTCTCTACTGCTTCAGGCAGCCAAGGAAAATGATCTGTTTGTCCTTAGGCAACTTCTGCTGGACCGAACCTGTGACATTCGACAAAGAGGTGGGATCTGGGTTTAGTGGCATGGAGGTGGGGGCAGCAGAACCTGCCTCTTTTCCCGGGACTCCCAGGGTTTGTGCAATGGGACGTTGGAGGGTGTCTTACAGCCTGGCGCACCTTCCTTAATGGAGTCTGGAAAGTATCTGACATTCTTACTTTACTCCAGGAGCCCTGGGCGAGACGGCACTGCACATAGCAGCCCTCTATGACAATCTGGAGGCAGCCTTATTGCTGGTGGATGCTGCCCCAGAGCTGGTCTTCGAGCCTACCATGTATGAGCCTTATGTAGGTAAGGAGACTGCACAGTAGTTCAAGGTGGAACGTTGAGGTAGAGGTGTGCTGCTGTCTCATAAAACGGGCCTCTGAAGAGTGGGCTGGGACAGAGTGATGGAGGGTGAGGAAAAAGGGCTCCCTTGAGTTGGGAAGAATGCAGATGTCCTGGTCTTGGCTTTTAGCATCCACAGCTTCCTCTGGCTTTTCAATCCTCTTGTGGTTTCTGAAGGACCAACTCTATTTCTTTCTCTCAGAGAAACACTAGAGTGGTTATATTTACAGCATTTCTCCTTGGATCCCAATAGCTGAGGGGTAAGTACAATGACCCTGCCATGCCCAGGACAGAAGTTTATACAAGAACCTGTCAGGATCTCCTTAAAGGGAGGATGGAGGGTGTTGTGTTCCTGATAAAACTGGGGACAGAGACAGACCCACAACTGATAACTGTCTCTGGGCCAGGTCAGACTGCACTGCACATTGCTATTGTGAACCAGAACGTGAGCCTCGTGCGAGCCCTGCTTGCCCATGGGGCCAGTGTCTCTGCCAGAGCCACAGGCACTGCCTTCCGCCGCAGTTCCCACAACCTCATCTACTTCGGTGAGAGCAGGGCCAGGCTGGGAGGACGGGCAGATGGGGAGGGGGCAAAGGCAAAGGGTGGGTGGGCAGAGGAGGGCCCTGTCCTCAGCTCCATCTGCCAGGTAGCGGGGAGTGGCAGCCCTTATAGGGCTTCATTAGGTCAGAGGCCAATTCCCCCTAGGCCCTTTCTCTGGTTCTGCCCGACAAGTGTCCCCAAGCACCGAGCTGAGATGTGAGTGAGGAGGAGGATGCTATCCCTTGGTGAGATTGCCCATTCCATTCTGCCATCCTGTGTTCTCCTGTACTCTGTCCCCAGGGGAGCACCCTTTGTCCTTTGCTGCCTGCGTGAGCAGTGAGGAGATTGTGCGGCTGCTCATTGAGCATGGAGCGGATGTCCGGGCCCAGGACTCTCTGGGTAACAGCTGGGTTGGGGAGGGAAGCTGAGATGCTGCAGGGGGGTAAGGGGATGGTTTGGGACAGCCCTCAGGCTAATCCCAGGGTGGAGCTGAGGACTTCAGACCAGTGGCCACATGATACCCTGTGTCCTCCCCAGGAAACACGGTATTGCACATCCTCACCCTCCAGCCCAACAAAACCTTCGCCTGCCAGATGTACAACCTGCTGCTGTCCTATGATGGATGCAGGGACCACCTGCAGCCCCTAGACCTCGTGACTAATCACCAGGGTCTCACCCCCTTCAAGCTGGCTGGAGTGGAGGGCAACACTGTGGTGAGGGACATGCCCCATCCCTGAGGAGTCTTTCTAATACCCCTCATCCTATTCTGCTGGTGCTGACAGGAAATAGTTTCAAAGAAAAGATCTTTCTTTTTTTTTTTTTTTGAGTTGGAGTCTCACTCTGTAGCCCAGGCTGGAGTGCAGTGGCCACTCCCAGCCACCGCAGCCTCGACCTGCTGGGCTCCGGTGACCCTTCCGCCTCAGCCTTCCGAGTAGCCGGAATTACAGGCACGCGCTACCACGCCTGGCTAATTTTTTGAATTTTTATTGTAGAGATGAGGTCTCGCCTGCCCAGGCGGGTCTCGAACCTGCGGGCTCAGGCAATCCACTCACCTCAGCCTCCCAAAGGCACGGGATTACAGGCTGAGCCACTGAGCCCAGCAGAAAAGATCTTTCTACAAACCTTTTTTCCCAAACTCCCCAAAGAGGTGGTGGGCCCTTACTTTCTATCCTATCACTGTAATCTTCAGTCTCAGGTTCCCTGACTCAGGAGGATTTGAGAACTTCACCTTAGAATATGTGCTATGGTAACTCAACGCTCTGTTTTCTTTGCCTTTTTCTTCTTTCAGAGTTTTATGGGGTTGTGGGAAGGAAAGATGACCCCAAAAAAGGAGGATCATGTAAGAAGAAATTTGCCAGTCCCCTGCTATGTCCATCCCGAGGCGTGGGCAACTATCCCCATGCAGTTTTGGTGCTTCCGTAGACCAGCTTCTCAAACGTTAACCCTTTGACTCACTCCTGTGTTCACTCAGATGTTCCAACACCTGATGCAAAAGCGGAAGCACATCCAGTGGACATATGGACCGCTGACCTCCATTCTCTATGACCTCACAGAGATCGACTCCTGGGGAGAAGAGCTGTCCTTTCTAGAACTCGTGGTCTCCTCCAATAAACGGGAGGTATGGATGTCAAGGAGGATCAGGGGCTTTCATGTGAGGGAACTTAGAGTCCATGCAGACCCTGTCCACTTGCTCAGATCCTGGGCACCAGATATTTCTAGCCTTATTATAGATGGAGATAAGAACAATTTTCTGGGACCTGTGGGTACAAGTCCAGTACACACTATTCTCCTGAGTCCACTCCTCTCTGCTTAGTTCTAGTCCCTTCTGCTGATCTTTCTCAATCTAACATGTCAAGTGAGGAACTTTCTAAATAAGATAGGTTTCCTACCATTCATCTATTAACTGACTCAGCATGTTAAGCATCTGCCATATCTCAGGCACTGAACAAGAAACTGAGAATGTGGAAATAAATAAAACATAGTTCTTGTCTGTCAACTTCTCAATTCTCAGTCCCTGTCTCTATAATTGCAATAAAGTACTCCACATATAATAGGGTGTGTACTGCACATGGGGCAGCAGAATTGAGGAAGGGTCAACTCGGTTCAAGAGTGGGAGTCAGCAGAAAGATGAGGAAAAAGGGAGCTTTGTAGAGAGAGCGAGCGAGAGCGAGCGAGCAACATAAAGATCATTTAACAGTGCTGAACTGAGTGACATGAAGGAAAGGAAAACTTGTTGAGGACAAAATACTTCTGACTTTCAGAACCCTCCTCAACAGCGGCAAGATATAGTTTCTGTTGCTTGTCTGCCACATGACAATTTCCTAGGAACATTTGTAGAGCCATAAAACACGAATGGTTCTTAATACTAACAAACAGAAAAAAAAGGTTGAATGACCAGTTTGTGTGATTTTCCTCAGTGACTATTCCTAAAAACAGATAGACTTTGAGCAGGATTTCTTAGGAATTAAAACCTCATTCTCTCTGTGTGGATTTTGCCACCATGTATCCTTGGTCTTCTACCTCAGCTAGTTTGCAGTATATTCCTAAAGGTTTTATACTTGTCTTAGGTTAGCCACTTTTCTCTTCCCTAAAACTTTCTTTCTAGCCCCTTTTACATCTTTTACTACCTCTACCCTTAGTCACATTGGAAGACCCAGACTCCTACCTTACTACAAAAATACAGACTCTATGACTGGGGGTCCTTCAACTTCCTCCCCTGAACTGCCAAGCATGTCTGGAAATTGCCCACTGTCTCTCTTCTTCCTTCCAGCTTCAGTGGAAAAGATATTCTTTCGGCTCATGGTTAATCCTTGCACTGGGCTTTGAATCTATCTGCCTCCTTCTGGTTTCTCAGATATCTCCTCCCATCCAACACCTGCTCATATGTATCTTTAACCTCTCACTGTTTGCTTATATCAGAGCACCATCCCACCATGCCGCATTCTATTACTTGTAACCTCTATTGCTTTCCTCTAGCCCAACAATACATCTGGAGCAAATCTGACTACCTCCCTGCTTGAATTCGCAATTGCTTTACATTACATTTAGAAAAAAAATATTAAACTTCCCACCTTGGCATTCACAATGCATGATGATCTGACCATTATGTATTTCATGCATCATAACTTCTGCCAACCACTCCCAATAGATCCTCCCATATCCCCAACCAGACCTCATCTGCAAATGGGAAAATGTTTCTTATGTGCTCCTGATCTGGTAAGTATTGCTACTTTATGGTATAATCTTTTTAAAACTCTCTCTTTACTCAAACCCCTATACAGTCTTTAAATCTTCAGTGGTGCTATGGTGCCTTGTGCTTACTGCTGGAATTATTTATCTGTAGCACTAGCACAAGCCCTGGCATACACCAGAAATTTACTACTTGTCTGTCAAACAAATGACTGATTAACTGAATGAATATTGATAATGATGGTTACTGCCCTGCTCCTTCTGGGACCCAGTAGGAAACCCATCACTTCTCACGATGTTGGTCACTCCAAGCTACGTTCTCCTTCATGGTAGGCTCGTCAGATCTTAGAACAGACCCCAGTGAAGGAGCTGGTGAGCTTCAAGTGGAACAAATATGGGCGGCCATACTTCTGTATCCTGGGTGCCTTGTACCTGCTCTACATGATATGCTTCACTATGTGCTGCGTTTATCGCCCCCTTAAGTTCCGTGGTAGCAACCGCACTAATTCTCGAGATAACACCATTCTCCAACAGAAACTACTCCAGGTAATTCTTCTCAGAAGGACATGAAAGAGAATAGTAGTGCGGGGTGAGGGTGCTGGAGACCAGAGTGACACTATCTGGGAAAGACACCACTCACTGTGTTCCAGTAGCTGTGGGTTCCTAAACACCTGGGTAGAAATTGGACATGAGATAAGGGGGTCAGTGAGGGACTTAATGAGTAAAAGAGTATTTTTCCAAGAAGCTGTGGATTTTTCTCACTCAAACTTTGAGTCAGAACTTGGTATTAGTAGCCCTGTACATTTGTGAAATTCCTTGTAATTTATAAAGAGAGCCAGCCTTTTGTAGCAAGATGTTCAAGGGAAACCTTGCTGTTTGAAAACAGGGAAATCATCCTCCAAGTTTATTTCTGAGTCCATTTCTGGGGTGTTAGGGCAACATAAACAGCCCTTCTCATGTATCTTCTTCTATGTACTGTCAATATGAGGCCATTGGAATAATGTGTCAGCCGCCAGATCACCTGTCAGATACTCCGCAGAAAGATGCCTGGGTTGAATAGCAGGTTGAAGTAAACAATCTCTGAGGTCCCATTTATTATGGTGGGCCTACCATTCTGTGGTGTCCTTCAGAGGCCTGGGGTGTTGAGGAGGACTGGTGAGAGGTATGGAGTAAATCTGCTGTTGAAGAGAGTAAACCTCCCCTTTAGTGCAACAGATTGAGTAGACTCTAATGAGCACTTCTGAACGTACATATTTTACAAGTATAGCTACATTTAGGAGGTTGATTCTTCATGGATTACTAAGTTTTTGTACTGGTGAGCTAAAAACAGCCAGAAGGGGATGTAGGCATGTGGGCAAAAAGCAAAAGATAGGGGAAGAAGAATTTTTCAAGGCAAGTGAGAGCTGGATGACTGGAAATTTATCTCTGTGTGGGATAGATGGGTATAGCCCAGCCTGGATGAGCTAGGTCAAAAAGAGAACATATACTTTCTGTAGTCAAGAACCCGAGTTGGGTTGGACCAAAGGCAGTGGTGTGCACAGAGAAAGAACAGGGCAAAGGGCTTCAATGAACCCTATGCTAGATAAAGACACTCCATGTCTCCTGTTTCTATTATTGCTTTTCAATATATAAACAATGTGCTAGTGATCCTGAGCCATTGCTTCTCACAAAGTAGGTTTTGCTGAGTGGGGAAGACAAGCCTGAATGTGTTAGGGGTGGTCACAGGGTGTTCAGGGGAGGTTGTGTTCCATGCATCTCAGTCTGGGCATGAAAAATGTCCCTGGTGTGGAGACTGCATAAAAGGAATAAGGGCATTTAGGAGACAGCCAAGAGGTTTGGGAGGTGACTAGAAATGAAGGAAATGTAAAAACATGAACCAGTTGGGGTAACTGTACTCTTCTAATGCTTCTGGCCCTTTTTCCTCTGATGTGTTGATGTATCTTTCCCAACCCTCCTTTGTCTCAAAGTTACTTGGGAACTTTCTGCATTTAGAACATAGATAGTGTCCTGCAGTAAGAACTGGGTGATACTGAGCAATTGACTATCAAAAGCTCTCCTTCCTGGGTATCTCTTTCTTTCTGGGACAGGACTAATTATGTACAAACATGCTTCTTTGACCCAGATAGTCTAAATTATATTTAACAGATCCCCTCCCTTTGCTTCAGGACCAGAAGAAGCATAATTACAGCCAAGTATCCCGAGCCATCCTTCTTTTTTCCCTCTTCTTCCTTCCTTTTTTTCCTTTAAACATTCTTACTCTTTTGCCTTCTACTTAGGTAAAAGTTACTTTGGCCCAGATTGAAGACTTTGGGCTTTCAAATATTCTTTTCTTAGAGGAAAGAGGATGGGTAAGAGGGTTAAGAATGCTGCTGTAGGGAGTCCCTGTTCTCTGGTGTTTTATCGTGAGCTCTGGTCCTGAGTTTACAGAATGCCTGTGTTCCTTTTACTCAGTTGGAGGTCAATTTCGATTAGATCAGGGTTCCCAAACATATCACCATGATCTGAAACACTCTGTTTTCACAATGCACCATATTTGTTAAATAATAGGAAATTATCCTTTTTTTCCCTACTTTTTATTACTAGAAAGTCTTAGAAAAATGAAAATGTACAAAAACAGTGTTTTGACTTGACAAATGCTATTGTTGACATGTCAGCTAACCTGTGAAGCTTTTTCTTGGATGAATGCTTCAATATCCAATTGTATTAATAAGTATGGAAGCACAGGGCTCTCAACCACTGTAGGACTTCCTCTATGGATCTCTTGGGATCCATGGAAATTGTTGGGCTCCATGTTCCCTAAAATCCCTCCTAGTTTAGCACTGGAATTTTATGTGAACAGCCTAGTAATACTACCTCAGGACAGTTGAAAGGAAAGCGGGAAAAAGGAAAAAAAAAACTCCTCTTATGAGGTTTTGCAAACTACACAAAAGCTGACGTATATAAAGATGGAGTAAGTTCATCTCTATGCAATTTTTGGGCTATCTTAATGACTCTAAGATGCCTTATTGTTCAGTCATAAAAGTTCTGCTTTTCCAGGGTTTCCCAAGAACTCTATTAATTAGAGTTAATATCCCATCTCCATTCATTTCTACTTGGGTTAGGCAGAGCAGCATGCACTATGGTGCTATTATCTAAGATTTCCAGGTGAGTAAAAAGTTCAAAGTCTGGGAGTCAAGCAGCTTGGGTTTTAGTCCTAACTATTAAATTCAATAGCTGTTTGACCTTGGGCAAATTCTACTTTCTGCTAGATTTGTGACTTTTAACCAAAACTGCACATTAGAAACCTGGGAAGCTAGCAAAAGGACTGGTTCCTTGGTTACATCCCAGACCAAATAAATTAGAATATCTGAAGCTGAGGCCTTGGCCTTGGTATGTGTTTTAAGATTCCCTTTGAGTGATTCTAATGTTCAGCCAGGGTGAAGAACTTTTGGTTTACAATTTTAGTACTGTTCATTTCCACATCTTAGGCCCACAACTCTGGCCATTTAGATTCTGGTGCTTTGTTCAGTAAAAGGGTTCTAATATTCCATCAACACATCTCCTTTTGGTCTTTTGAAAAATACTCCAAGTTTTCCTTTGCCCTTTTTCTTTCCCAGAAATGTTTCATTGATTCATTCATCAAACAAATAATTTGGGGGGATCTTGTATAGACTAAACAACTGTTCTAGGTATTGGAAATTCAACAACCATGGTCTGAGCAAAACATATGTGATTTCTGCCTTTTTGGAGTTTACAGACTGGTTTATATTAGTCAAATAATCTTATGAGTAGAAATTTCATTATAACCTGTTATTGTTATCATCAATGTTATTTTTTCTATATAAGAGAAACAAACAGACCAGAATGCTAGGATAATTTATAATAGGGCCTGGTCCCTCTGGGTTGCCAGAGAAGGCTTCTGAGAAAGGTAACTGAGCTGATATCTGGGTTCTAGTTCAAGGTGAAAAGAGAATTCTAGTCAGAGAGAATGCATATTCCAAAGTCCTGAGGCAAAAAGAACCTCATCAATGTCTAGGAACTGAAAGAAGACTTACTCTAGAGCAGAGGGAGCTGGGGTGGGTGCCAACAGGTGAGGTTGTCCAGGTAGGTACTTCCCAAATCATGCAGATCCTTGTGGGCATGTTGAGAATTTTACTCTTTATACCCAAGGAAATGGGAAGTCAGAAGGATTTTAAACAGGGGAAAAGCTTGACCAAATTTTTCTTTTAAAAAATATTACTCTGCTTACAGGATAAAAAAAACAGATGTGGGGTGGGTTAGGGAGGATGTGGGGAAACCAGTCAAGAAGCTATTACAGTCTAGCAAGCAAGACGAGATGATGGTAGATTGGCCTAGGAATGCAGTGGAAAGATGGAGGGAAGGAATTGGTACCAGGAGACTTATTGAAGATAAAATCATCCCTACTGTGTTTCCATCTTTTAAAAATTATCTTCTGGCCAGATGCAGTGGTTCACACCTGTAATTCCAGCACCTTGGGAGGCTAAGGTGGGATGATCTCTTGAGTACAGGAGTTCAAGAACAACCTGAGCAACATAGCAAAACCTGTTCTCCACAAAAAATACCAAAAAAAAAAAAGAAATTAGCCAGCTGTGTTGGTGCATGCCTGTAGTCACAGCTACTTGGGAGATGGAGGCAAGAGGATGACTTGAGCCCCAAAATTCGAGGTTGCAGTGAGCTACAATAGCACCTCTGCACTCCAGCCTGGGCTTCATAGCAAGACTCCATCTCTACAAAAATATTTATTTTCTACCTGCCACAGTCAGTGGGATCAATTTGTCTACATATTATCATTCCCCATGAGTTCTGAATAAGCCAAAACACTACAGATATTTGAAAAATGAATTGATTTCCAACTCTACACAACATGGGTACTAAGCAACTCACTGTGGAACAAGCATGGCACATTAGAAACAGAAAAAGAGATGTGGAGAAGCAGGCAGCCCAGTAGGTAAAAATAACATCCACTAAGTGCCTAATGTGTACACTTTATATGCATTTATCTGTGCTTTTAAGATCTTGTTAAAATGTGGATTCTAACTGGGTGCAGTGGCCCATGACTGTAATACCAGTACTTTGGGAGGCTGAGGTGGGAGATCACTTGATGCCGGGAGCTCAAGACCAGCCTGGGATATAGCAAGATTTTCTCTCTCTCTCTCTCTCTCTCTCTCTCTCTCTCTCTCTCTCTCTCTCTCTCTCTCTCTCTCTCTCTCTCACTCTCTCTCTCTGTGTGTCTCTCTCTTTCTAGATAGATAGATAGATAGATAGATAGATATTTTAATGTAGATTCTGACAGAATGTCTAGGGCAGGACACGACACTGCATTTCTTTTTTTTTTTTTTTTTTTTTTTGAGTTGGAATCTCACTCTGTCGCCCAGACTGGAGTTGCAGTGGCTGCTCCCGGCCACCGCAGCCTGGATCTGCTGGGCTCCGGCGATCCTTCCGCCTCAGCCTTCCAAGTAGCTGGAACTACAGGCACGCGCTACCACGCCCGGCTAATTTTTGATTGATTGTAGAGATGAGGTCTCGCAAAGTTGCCCAGGCAGGTC